GTGCAAAAGTACAGAAGCCCAGAGGCGACAGCATAAAACCACTTTTAAAAAAAAAAACAAAATATAAAATACAAAATATAAAACACAAAAATACAAAATATAAAACACAAAAATACAAAATATAAAACACAAAATACAAAAGTAATTTTATGCTGTCGCCTCTGGGCTTCTGTACAAAAGGCAGGAATACAAATCTTAAACCGCAAGCAAATTTTATGGACTTTTTAAAAAAATAAAAGACCTTTTCGGGAGACGTAATGGAGATCGATGCACGTGCAAATCATGCCGACCTACAGAATCGATTTCCGGTTTTTCCAAACAGCGCGTTGTTTTCATGTGCGTTCCATGGGCCGCGCTAAAAATATAAATATTCTGTAAATACCGAAATAAAAGATGAAAATCTCAAGACACAGGCTTGAAAATAACACTATAAATAGTGTTTTCGATTCTGGTTCCAATAACATTATCACGAAAAAGATATGTCCAAAGGGGCCGAAGTTATGTTCGGCAAAATGTATGGCTAGTTTACATTGTTGTATTATGAAATATGATACCATACTTGTATTAAAATTCGCGTCGAACTAATGTTATTGTAAATGAGTAGACTTGCCACAAGTCGACCTCGAACGAAATGCGTTTCTTCGAGGTCGACTTGTGGCAAGTCTAGCAAATGAGAACCATACAAATGATACAATAATGGTTCTAGTTCTTGTTGGTATTTTGAACGCACGCTTTATCTTTAGTATAGCTACCACAAAGCTTTTCGCGCGGATTATATTTCGTGGAGTACTAAGTATTATATTTTGTGGTTTTCGAGTCATTACACAAAGAAAAACACATTAATTCAACACACAAGAAAGTCCAGAGTATGACACAACGTAAAATACATAGGAAACCGGCACAATTCTTTGAAAATTCAACGAAACTGTGTAAAATATAGTTTGATCACTCTGTGAAAAGCCGCCATTGCAGTTCGGAATTGTGCGCGTGCGTACAAGTGTATATATAGGCTAATAAACGAAAAATGTACCACAAGCATGGCATGAGTCGGCTATTACGTACATATATGCGAGCTTATTACTATACTATCTAAATCACGGAACCGAGGGAATCCATGGGATTTTGGCTTAATCGTTGCACCCTGAGCCTGCGATTAGCTAACGCAAACTCGATTTCTCGACTACGAAAAAAAAACAGAAAAAGGGGGATTTAAGACACTTGGCCTTACAGGCCAGTGTAATTAAACGGCACATCAACCACGTCATTTCAAAGCGTAGTGAAGTGATTCCAATTGATCACGGCACTTTTGTATATAAAAAGAGCGTGTGAATTAAACAAGTCACATATTATTAGCACTGATGAAGATTGGATAAGACGCGACTTAAATAAGAACAGGACTTTTATAGCTGTTCTTATTTAAGTCGCGTCTTAAATATGAAATTTTGGACAAAAATTCTAACTACACATGCCCGAAACCTGAAACAACGTAAAATTATTAGCCTTGCATATTAAAACAAAAACAACCGAAACAACATTATAGCTATAGCAAGTAAATAAGAATAAAGCCGTATAAACCATTTATGCGATAACTCCGCTTATTTAAGTCGCGTCTTATTTTGTCTCGTATAAATGGCCCTATTTTGGTACCGGGAATTTTAAAGCGTTGAGTTATCACGACAGATAAAGTATAGAACACATTAATCGTCACCGAAAATGTGCGGTATACTAAACGGCAGCTGAGTTAAAATTCCGACTAAAACATGACTCGGGCGATGCTAATAAACAAATAGCTTACATGTTTATTGTAAAAATTATGAAATATCTGATTTATACGAGTTTATCTTACAATTCCCCCGACTTCCAATACAAGGCCGACTTCGGCAGTGGTGACTTCCAGTACATTTGTCCTCGTGCTTCTTGCAAGCAGAGAGCATACACGTGACATGTTGTTAGTATCGGTATTGGTATCGGAAGTCGAACTTAAACTCTCTATTAACCTAGTTCCACATCCCTCTATATTTAATTCACTGTAATTAATTGGTATTTGCGTTTTCTGTAAAGCTTTGTTTGTAGCTGTGGCGTAAACTTGAGTATGCTGGGCTTGGCTTGAGGTTATTGGATGGTTAAATTTAAGCCAGCCAATTAAAGAGTCAAAAAGAGCAAATATTGTTACATCCTGCAGAGTATGCAAATCGGCGATTTCAAAATATTCCAGGAATTGCATTTCATGAAATTAGCCGAAAGATGTGTGCTGTTTCAATTAACAAGTAGATTTTACAAATTATGCAAAAACTTTGGATTTTGACCAGTAAATAAGAAAATAAGCATTAACACGCAAACGAGGCTTCAGGTCATGACCTGGAGCCTCGTTTTCGTGTTAAAGCCTATTTCTACAAAGTTTACAGTTGGAAAATGCAGGAATTTAGCGATTCCGATTGTCTATCCATAAGTATAACGCAATAATCGGCCCGACTCCGATATCTGTCAATCTTTTCTTATGTATTTTGTATTGTTAAAAGGGAACACGTTCGTATAATTTTGGGGTAGTAACATTAGCTTGACAATATATTTCAAGCCTTTTTTTGTTTACATTTAATACCAATTAAGACCAAATCAAGAACAATTACATGCCATGAATAAAATATGTTTAAATAAAAAAATTACTTCAGTTTTCTATCTGTCTTCCATTTAGCTTCCAGTGGCAGTGTTCTTCAATGTTTACTACTATATTTATATTAGTTTAACTGAATAAACTAAATATACAATTAAATTGTAAACAATTTATGAGTTCATCAGCTCATACCAAAGCATGAAGTCTACACGAGGTTCATTTCTACGTCAATGGATAAGCATAGTGGAGTTGGACTTTTCTGCTTTTTCGTTGCGTTTCTTCTGGGTGTGGCGCCAAAACTGAGTCCACCACAGGGTTCAGGAGCAGGTGTAGAAGACACAAAACCAGGCATTGTCGGTGTCCCAGTAGTGGTGTTTACACTTGGTTTAGGAGAGCTAAAACTGAGTCCACCACTTAGTATGGAAGGAGATGTAGAAGACCCAAATCTGGATATTGTCGGTGTCCCAGTAGTAGTGTTTACACCTGGTTTAGAAGAGCTAAAACTGGGTCCACCACTTCGTATGGAAGGAGATGTAGAAGACCCAAATCTGGATATTGTCGGTGTCCCAGTAGTAGTTTTTACACTTGGTTTAGAAGAGCTAAAACTGAGTCCACCACTTGGTATGGAAGGAGATGTAGAAGACCCAAATCTGGATATTGTCGGTGTCCCAGTAGTGGTGTTTACACCTGGTTTAGGAGAGCTGAAACTGAACCCAGCAGCACTTGGTATGTAAGGGGGTGTAGAAGACCCAAATGCAGACATTGTTGGTGTCCCTGTAGTGGTGTTTACACTTTGTTTATGAGAGCTAAAACTGAGTCCACCATTTGGGTTGGAAAGAGGTGTAGAAGACACAAATTTAGACATTGTTACTGTCTTAGCACTAGTGTTTACACCTGCTTTGGGAGACCACCAAGGAGGCGTAGAAGATCCAAATGCAGACATTGTTGCTGTCCCGGTAGTAGTGTTTACACTTGGTTTAGGAGAGCTAAGACTGAGTCCACCACTTGGGTTGGAAAAAAATGTAGAAGACCCAAATCCAGGTATTGTTGCTGTCGCAGCAGTGGTCTTTACACTTGTCTCAGGAGGGCCAAAACTGAATACACCACTTGGTTTGAAAGGAGATGTAGAAGACCCAAATCCAGGTTTTGTTACCGTGCCAGTAACATTGCTACGAAATTCTTCTTGCTTGACTTCCATTTTATATGTTATATCAACAGATGACATGCATGCTTTTTTGTATCTGCGCGTAGCGCAGATATATTGCTATCGCGTCAGTCCGTAAAGTAAAGTAAAGTAAAGTAAAGTAAAGTAAGTAAGTTAAGTTAAGTTGTTAAGTCCGTCAACCTTGTTTTGAAGACCTGTTCGCAGGCTAGAACAGCTTTAAAACAAGATGGCGTCTTTCGAAAAGCTGTCAAGAGAAGTATTAGTATTAATCGTGGTATTAATAGACTTTATCCTGACTTTATTTTGATAAAATCTTCTTCTATAGCAGTCTTGGACTGATATAACTCTTACACTCAAACCGGATGTTCTGTTCCCATGAGTATTGCAACATCGCAATCAATCTTGCAATGTTGATTGCAAATTGTTCCGAGCAAATTACACGCAAGTATGCAACTGTCATTTTTTCAAGTTCCTATCACTCCCGTGTTGGGTCAAGAGAATAACAAATCAAAAGGACTAATATTTTGCCTACCACTTGACAAATTAAAGGTAAACTGGAATGTATAGAGGATATTTATATATGGTTATGCGGAAATATGTAATTTATTTCGAGTGTTGAAGAGAACTATTGCTAACGAGTGAGCGTAGCAAATTGCAAGTTGTTCCATTATGTGATTTAATAATCTAAATTTTTGAGTAAGGTCATGGACATTTGTAATTATTATGAGTATTTACTATTTTATCTTCGTATCAAACCAAATATATAGCATTGCGAGCTTTAATTGGTATTAAACTCTGCCAGTTTGAGAACATATGTTTACATATTTAACTACCGCAAAATAAATCCCTCTTTGGCACTGAATTTTGAATGTTATTTAGTATTTTTGTATCACGTTAAGATCAAAATGGACATATTTCTTGAATAATACTTTTAATCTGTGAAATGATATATATAAAAATATTAGTCCTCATACTTCGTTTTGGATTTGTTACTCAGTTTTGTGATAGATAGGGGTACCAAAGCCTTGATATTTCCAGAGGTATTAAAATACAAAATTAGCCTGTGACAGTATGCTCCTGATTTTACTTCATACTCGATTTGGGGCAACACAAGTTCTACAACAAGAACGTACACGATGTACTGTGCAATTATAAAACGTCATATTTATAGATATTTGATTGACATGTTTACGCCATGCATTTCATACCGCACGGGTTTTCCCTGAGTTTTTATAAACAGGACCTGTATTTCCGGCAATTGTTTTATGGTTGAATCTTCACGAAACAATTACAAATTTTAAATAGACACGCAAATTATATTTGCGTATATATCTTGACTGTTATTTAATGGAGGCCTCTGAAACTAGGCTAAACTATGAAAACAAAGCATAGGATAAACGTAGCCCTGTTGTTTTAAATGTCAGAAACTATTATTAGCTCATGACTCCATGTACAGATGTCTAATCCCACGTCTTTAATAAATCCACACATTTTACAGCCTTAATTAATTATTTTCTTTAAATTGTTCTTAAAAGTAATGAACTGTATGAATAGCAGATATTTAGCTCCAGATAAAAAGAAACATTTTTGTATGATTGTTATCAGTTGCCGTGATTCGGGATATAAATGGTTCTCGTCCTCTTAATTTAGAAGTCACTAGTTAAATGTAAATATTACATCTGAAGCAGGCATGTAATTTCAACTAGCACAATTTCGCACAATTGCTGTAAAAATGTCATTTCGAGAATGCACCATCAATGAATGCGAAACATTTCTACTTACTGCGAAAGCGGACAAAGTGGGACAATTCAATACAATCGCTCATGTGCAACCACCGTATTTCGCAGACACAAGTTCTCGCGACGAATTTCGCCGTCGTGGAATCAGACCTTAAGATTCAGACACACCGGACGCGCTTCGAGAACGCGACGCGATTTTTCAGTTAGTTTGAAAAACAGCCAATGAGACAAATCAGTTAGAAACATATGTAGACCAAGTAACTTAGAATGTTATAGCGCTTCTAAATATTTGGAATATTTAAACTTGGATTAAATTTAATGGTCAGTGAAAATCGAAAAATCGCGTCGCGTTGTCGAATCGCGTCCGGCGTGTCTGGACCTTTAATGCGCAGATACATGTACGCGGTCGCGTACCTATTTTTGTATATTGCTATCGAGTCAGTCAGTAAAGTAAAGTAAAGTAAAGTAAAGTAAAGTTAAGTAAGTTAAGTTGTTAACTCGTTAAGTCCGTCAACCTTGTTTTGAAGACCTGTTCGCAGGCTAGAACAGCTTTAAAACAAGATGGCGTCTTTCGAAAAGCTTTCAAGAGTAGTAATCATTAGTAATCGTGGTATTAAACTATTAATAGACTTTATCCTGACTTTATTTTGATAAAATCTTCTTCTATAGCAGTCTTGGACTGATATAACTCTTACAGTCAAACCGGATGTTCTGTTCCCATGAGTATTGCAACATTGCAATCAATCTTGCAATGTTGATTGCAAATTGCTCCGAGCAAATTACACGCAAGTATGCAACTGTCATTTTTTCAAGCTCCTATCACTCCCGTGTTGGGGAAAGGGAATAGCAAATCAAAAGGACTAATATTGTGCCTACCACTTGACAAATTAAAGGTAAACTGGAATGTATAGAGGATATTTATACATGGTTGTGCGGAAATATGTAATTTATTTCGAGTGTTGAAGAGAACTATTGCTAACGAGTGAGCGTAGCAAATTGCAAGTTGTTCCATTATGTGATTTAATAATCTAAATTTTTGAGTAAGGTCATGGACATATTGTAATTATTATTATGAGTATTTACTATTTTATCTTCGTATCAAACCAAATATATAGCATTGCGAGCTTTAATTGGTATTAAACTCTGCCAGTTTGAGAACATATGTTTACGTCATATTTAACTACCGCAAAATAAATCCCTCTTTGGCACTGAATTTTGCATGTTATTTAGTATTTTTGTATCACGTTAAGATCAAAATGGACATATTTCTTGAATATACTTTTAATCTGTGAAATGATATATATAAAAATATTAGTTCTCATACTTCGTTTTGGATTTGTTACTTTTTGTGATAGATAGGCGTACCAAAGCCTTGATATTTCCAGAGGTATTAAAATACAAAAATAGCCTGTGACAGTATGCTCTTGATTTTACTTCATACTCGATTTGGAGCAACACAAGTTCTACAACAAGAACGTACACGATGTACTGTGCAAATATAAAACGTCATATTTATAGATATTTGATTGACATGTTTACGC